GACCTTTTGTCAATGACTGTCACAATAATAATGACAATGTAGAGTGAATATGAGATAAAAACTTGGAGACCCTTTGATGTTTGACTGAAATAGCCACAAAAACCCAACAGTACAACCTCCACATCTGTTATAGAGTGTTAATGCACATTTTGCTAATTCTACAATGTTTACCTTGCTGACTGTGATGACATATTCCCTCCCTGTGACCCAACCATGTTGTGAAGACTGGATGGAATGCTGGGAACACCTGGAGTGGTTACACTTCCACTGAGTGATGTTGTAGAGTGGGTGGGTCCAGGATGTGACAAGCTTCTACCAAACTAAATAAGTGAAGTATCAAAGTGTATTAATTAGGAATAATATACTGGTGCACAGGTTACAAATCCTTTTTGTAACCTCTAGAACTTATTTATTGAGGCAAAAAAGAAATCCAATTCTGGTTGGTAGTGAATTATGACAGTATAGAGTAATATCATTGATGTGTTATTTGGTCTCATCATCCAACTTGTTCTTGCTGAGGTAGAGAACGATTTGCTTGCCAAGATTAACCAATGGCTTCACAGGAGGCTTAACTTCTACATGAAGATCAATTTCATAAATACCTGAGCAGATGACATTCCTCTTGGAGCACTTGGTGGAACCTGCATGGAATTGACATTTGGAGGAAGTCCTAGCAAATGACAACAATATATCATGTAAACCACAAAACAAACAGGAAATGCAAAAGTTGCCAACAATAAAAATAAACTCAGTATGAAAAAAAAAGAATGTGGACCACATATCAGTAAACTTGAGGCAGTTCACAAAGATGAACCGCCTTTTGGTTGCTTCAAACATTCAGTTCTTCACCAGGCAAAGTTTCTTAACTCTAAGGTGTATCGCTGAAGAGTCAGCCTTGTGAGTTTTGCATCTCTTCACTAGTTCATTCACCTTTAATAAGTTACTCTTGTTGGTCAACTAAGTGTTCACCTGCTTTCTGATGCAAACCTCATCAATTTGTGCTTATTAGAACTTATCTTACCAACTGAATGATATCATGTGGGATTTCCCACTTACATAAATAAAAACTTAATTAATTTTCTAAATACCAATGTTAGAAGTAACAAGCAGTTTCTGTTAGCTCAAAAAAATCTTCTGACGACCTGACCATAGCCAGGGCTGCAAATAACTGTTCAACAGATCATAACTGCTACCTAACCGTATTTCTGAACAAATGTTTTCCCCAAATGAAAAGCAGTGAAACTGGACACTTGTGATTGGATTCATTCCTTTTAGTAAAGAAAAAGTTATTTGTGAAAAGATAGATGAACTTAAAAGTTTATACCTGAGCTTGGGAGCCCTGAACCATAAAAATTAGATTGGTGGGGTCCAGGTGATTGCATACCAGAAGGCGTTCCATAAAGACCCCCAAGATGAGGCTGCAAAAGAAACATTCTGTCATGATTGGTTGATATCAACACACACATAATGTTACACAAGAAATGAAAAGGAGACAAGACCCTTTCAAAAATAGAGTTTACACATAACTAAAATGTCCTTCAAAGTCACTCTTATACATAGCTTAATTCAAGACCAGTGAAAAGTCAAGTATTACTCAGGGCTATGCCGTAAGTTAGTAACAAACAGTGCATGGATAATGCAATAATAATCATGCCTAGAAAATCTCACAAGCTATAAACAGAGTATGAACTTTAACCTCCTTCTCTGGTCTGTGTGGAGGAAACATTGAAGGATTGAAGTACATTCCACCTGATCCATAATCATCATCCCCATCATCATTAAAAACAGGCAACTTTTTCCTCAGGGAGCCAATAGCTGGCATGTTTTTCCTACCACCTAAAGTTTAGAAAAGCACAAGGCCTTATATTAACACACCAAGACTGGGTTTCTAAAAGCACAGTTGGGTTGACTATGCACAGAACTCTGAAGACCTGATAAGCAGACAACATTCAGTTGTTGTTTGACAAAACAAAGTACATCTAACCATCTTCACATGAGCAAAGTGTTCTATCAACATGACTTTATTTTTGTGAACAGCATCAGTTAGCAATGAAATAGAAACAAGTTTATTAACCCTAGCCCCACCTACGAAGAAATCTCAAGATCTAATGACAGTCTGAATCTGAGGCCTATGTCAACTTTAATTTATATAACCAGGCCTCAGTTGCTAGGGCAGTTACCTTAATTAGTGTGAATAGTGCTTAGAACAACACTGCTAAGATGCTTCATCTAAAAGGAGAAACATTTATTCCTGTGTCCATGATAATATAGTATAGATTTGGAATAATCAGTGGGAACAACTATGAGAATTATTTTATTTGTTTTCACTTAATTGTGTTTTAATTACTTTGTATTGACAACCAGTTTTATAGCTGAAATGTACAGTAAGCACATCGAGAATTAAAACAGCACAAAAACTTTTGTTATTATTATCATCACTTTCTTGTATACCATTGATTTACATGTGGAGTACCTGCTTTAAAAGTAATTTTAGTATGTATGCTATACAGAAAACTTTAATTTTAACCAAGCCCATCGGTAGTATTCACTCAAGCTTTTGTTAATTTACCATCAGTAGTATTTACTCAAGCTTTTGTTAATTTACCATTATTATGTACAATTCCCATCAGCAATTTGAACTGCTGTACTTGCTCTATAGATTGTTATGATAATGACACACCTCTTCAGCTCTTGGACACTAATAATGATAGTACAAGAAACCATCTGCACAAATGCTATTGCTTAGAATGAATTTAGGTCCCAATGGCTCAGTTATTCAAACAAGTTCTATTGTGGACCACAATTTTTGATGTCCAATGGACTTTGAAAGTTCCTCGTTGATGGGCTTTTTAAATTTACTAGATCTTCCTTTTGGTGATAAATATAAGGCAGCCTTTCTAGAGTTTTACAAAAACTTTATATTAAGGTGATAATTTCTACATGACTTCAGATAGTTTAGAGCCTGGTTTGATGAATACAGGCTTGAAGTTATATTTTCATTTATTCCAAATATATTATCATTATGTTAACTTTTGAACAAGGACAAATATAAATTGCCAATTTTATTTTAACTTGTAACCAATATCCTAAAGTAATGTAAGTAATGTTTTCTGTCATTTTTAAAAATCAAAATGCAAAAAAGTATATAACTACCATTCATTGACAGATGAAGCATAAAAGGACAACACACAAACAATGCACATTTCGAAATTATAATTACTACAACAAGACTTTTTTTACCTGGGGAGAGATCCTGTTGACCTTTCCTCGGAGGAAATGGATACCTGATTTAAAAATATGGAAAAAATAATATTAAGAAATATCACACTAACCAGTATTAAAACAATACATCTCATTGTAGCAAATATCATACAATGTAAGTATATAATATATAGATTTAGCCAAGCCTAAAAGCGGAGCTCGCATTTTTTTTCTCGCATGTCTCAACTAGAACCTGGGTTGCCCGACTCCAAGCCCAGTACACTGACCACTGGACTACTGAACAAAGCTGTGGCATTGGTGCACTTACAGTACAATTGACCATGCATGTTAAAAGTAGCATCTTGTGCGGTCGTATGGTCGTACGGTCATTTGATCATACATCCAAATTTTTTCAGCTTGATGGGTTACTACTATTTTGTATAATTATAGGCTATGCTCTGCGAGCTCCACTATCATCAAACACGACTCCAATGCTTTTAAACTTCTGATGAAAATTTCATCGTCAAAGAAGTTCCCACAAGTCATAGCAAGCATGGCAATCATTTGTGTACGGATATTATTCCAGGGTGATGGAGGCAGGCTGGAGCAAGTTCTAGAAGACTAATTACCAGTGTTTACAACTGAATGGGAGTGAGTGAGTGATTGACTTGTTTGTATATCACAGTTCCTTAAATTTGAACTGGTTTGAGTGAAAGTAATAATAACTGCAAAAAAATTACTCTGATTGGTTTGGAAAAGGGGAACAGACTGTGTCTTGTCATTAAGACCTTTCATAGGGAATTATGACTTGCATGTACCAGTCTACACCAGACTTATTGGATACAGAAATCAAGTTTCATAGTTTTTAAAACAAAATGAAATCAATTGCAAATACACGTAGAGTTGCTTTCATTAATAACACACTATACTCACTGGCTTATTCCAGAAAGTGGATCACCCAAAGGGCGATGGTGTGCCATTAGAAAAGAAGAACAAATCTTAAAAACCAGTACAGGATGGCCAAGACCTAAAAAGAGAGATTAACATTAAGAACCATTTGCTGGGTGCAGTCTTTATATTATAGTGCAATCATTATGTTCTGTCACAAAGCTATCACTTTCAATCAGGCTAACAAGGGAGACAGGGCAGGTGGGATGACTATCACTGTTTTATACCCACACACAAAAAGTTTTACATCATTTCCCAGCTTGAAATGAAAAAAAAAAAAAAAATTTATATATATATATCACAACCTTTAAACAAAATACACAAAAGAAATTGAAGCAAATATATAATACAGGCCCATGGAAATTCATGTTTTTATACCCTCTCCTCGCCAGGGACCCCACTGTAACTTGGCACCCATGGTGCTAGGACAATTTCTTTATGCTGTGTTACAGTGGGGTCCCCAGCAAGGCTCAGTTTAAAAAGGAGGCAAGGTTACCTAGCTGGTTTTCAACGGTCGTGTGTCAAGGTTGATGTGGATGCAGGCTGTTAGAAACGGTGGAAATTTTTTAAGCTAACTGTGGCTTAGCGTCAGTTGCATGGGGAAGATTGAGTTTGTAGTGAATTGAAATGAAACTACAGTGAATGTGATTGGATTCTGCATTGGATTTGTGGCCACCTGGTCACTTTACACTGGAATTTTTTGCTTCTCAGATTGGGTGTTTGGAAATGGAGTGTTCAGCCTTGGGCTTTTCTTATGTACATTGAAAACCTCGAAATGGACAACTTGCTAAAATGCGTTCTTTTCATTAAAGTAAGTGGTCAGATAACAAGAAATATGCTGTGGAAGTAAGGTGAGGTATTTTCTTTGAGAATTTGACGTATTTTTTTATTCCTTAGAATGGTTGTAAATATTCCCATACAAACTCTTATAATTCCACTATGACTGTTATTGTGCAAGATGATCATCCAAAACTGGAGCTTGGGCCACCTGTGTCCCAACGTACTTCAATAGGACAAGCAAATGAAGCTCAATGTTTTCTACTATACCTGTTTTATACCTTATTATTATAAAACTGTTCATGAGGGGATGTTAAACTTAACTTGAGATACAATTTAGCCTCAACAGTCTTTTCAAAACAAGTAGCAGTAAGTTGTGAACAATCATACATCAAATTCTATCATCCTGTACACTGTCCTCAGAATGTTAGTGTAAACCCAACAATTTTTGGTGCGATCACTAAAAAGGGTGGCACTACGTTATGAAGCTTCCTTTTCATAACTAAGAGAAAATGTCCGTTTACAAGAACAGCGCTCGAATTTGCGCCTCATTGCTCTTCACGTATTTATACCTTATTTTTATAGGGTACGCACCAAGAACATTAATTAATGTAAACAATGAACAGATAGACATTAAAATATCAGATGTCATCACGCGAACAGGCTTGTTTGTTCCATGCCAAACAAGATAAAATGACATTAGAAACACTTCCGGAAACCATTCTATACATTGGTGCAGTTATTTTAAAACAGTACGTTTTGCAACTTAAATGCATATTTAATCACCTGTGTTAACTGTATCCTGACAACATTAACTCCAGCTTAAGGTTTTTGAGGCTGAATTTTGGGCACAACCTTGTGGATTTACCCTTTCGATTCAAAAAGTTGATTCCTTTTGTTACATGCGCAATAGAATAAGACACGCTGACCTTCATATGTTACCGGCTCATACATTGGTGTGTTCCCACACCTGGTGCCGCAAATATGACATACGAAAGCAAAGCATCTATGTCGTGGCACGGAAGGAGTCATAACGGGTCAATTTATTGACCAATTCCTGGGCAAAGTCCGGAAAAAATATCGAACACGGAATCAGGTTTCCCAGAAATATAAAAACAAGAAACTTTCAAATTTCCTGAAGAGGATTTTTCCACGTTCCAGTACTGATCCTCCAATTGAGAAGTTTGGTTTTAATGATTATATAAATAAAAATGACTCCTAACTAATCATTTCATGTTTTTAACACAAATAAAAGCGAGTGAAAAAACCGAGATTGCATCGACAAAGATTAGCATATAAGCAGCAACGCGGGAACGAGGCTGGGTTGGCTAAGTAGACTTTGAACTTCTCACTGTTTACTTATTCGCCCGCTTAGGAGGTGTGTGTGTCGGCGTGTAAAGTTCTGTAGCCAAAGAACGCGAAAACCGTTTTGCGTATAATAGTGTTTACAATCTCTGCTGAGGTGATAGGGTAAATAATCCTTGGAACTTCAACAGGATCAATATGGCTGAAGCTAGACTTGGGGTAGCATTTCAATTCCAAGTGACCGAGGATGGAATTATCGTCAACTTCGACAAAAACAGGCTTAAATCTGTCGGTCGAGCTATGGTGAAATCTGCCAAACGGCGGGTTAAGGTTGCAAAGAAGGCGATTTTAAAGCGATCGTTCCCTGCAACCCCAGCATCTTGGATCCTTCTTGTTGCTGCCTTGGGTGCTGCTCGGTATTCAGAGCATGAAACAACTCTGGGAGTATTGGGAAAGTTGGAACGTGGATTGCCTTGGTAGGTAGAGGCATTTACTAATTGGACTTTGCCCGCTTCGTCGAAGATTGGAAGAACTTTTTTTCTTAGCCCATAAGCCGTTATGAACTTCGTAATAATATTTGTTACTGCTTAAGTTGGTGCTATTTACCTCCCATTAGTAAATGTTCTCGCTCTTTTCACTGATTAAGGTTTTGCTATTAATTTTTTTTACAGATAAACTGAGCTTAATTTGGCAATAATCATCTGACACGATTTAAAATGTGAATCGCGACTAGTTTTATTTTCATCAGATAGTTAATTTTGAATCCTTTATATTTCCTTAAGAAAGAGCAGCTTCATTAAAATGTATGTTTACGTTACTATCATTCAATGCGAGACAGGTGTGAAAATGAAGCTAATAATAATCGAGAATGTATTTCAATATGTGAACAGAACTTTGCCCATCAATCACCGAATCTTGAAGTTTGTTGGGTCAATAAGACCCCATGTATTGCTCTTCGTAAAAAAAGAGCGACAGATGAGGATGTGGCAAATGGGTGTGATCCTAATATTATAATAAAGCTAAAAATAATCGTTACTAGGAAGGTTCGTCGGGAAGTTTTGAAGTAGGAACCATGTTCTTAAAGTTGGGCTCTTTTTCAATCTCTGCTGAAGAGACCAGAGGGAAATCTCGATTTTGTAACTGGCCAGTATCATAGGAACTGATGATCATCTCGTTTACTGGATCGAATTAAACCAGAGAAGAAACTTACCCTTCTTCTGCTAACTCTGTATGCATAATTACTTTCGTTATGTTTTGTTTCTTTTGTTAAGTTGATAAGCGAAAAGAGAAAGAACCAGGGAAGAAACTTATTCTTTTTCTGCTAACTCTGTATGCATAATTACATTTGTTATGTTTTGTTTCTTTTGTTAAGTTGATTAGCGAAAAGCCATACCAGTAACAAGGATACCCATGCGGTTTGGAAAGGACCTAGGCCGCTTAATTTGTCTTCTGCTATGAGTTTCCTTAGTCATGTTTTATGAGTCTTTGTTTTGACTGCAATGGCTTGATTTTAGGTAAAGATATCAACAGAAAAAGATATTTTGAATTGAGATGAAGGATTTTGCTTAGGGTTGGGACATAAATAAATCCAAAAATTTAAATTATTTACTCACTAACCAGGTCTGTATTTGGAAGCACTGCCTATCAAAAGAGTTTGATACATGTTCAAGGATAAGGCAGCAGATATTTTGTGTTGTATTATTTTGCCTCAATTTGAGCCGGATATTGGGGGTGGGCCTTAAAATAATGACAAGTAATTTGAATTTCCTCTGCTGACCACGTAGTGAAACTGTACTCTGGCTTTCTTGTTTTGGTTTTTTTTTTAGATGATTATTGAATTTTGAGGGTTCAACTTGTGCAGAATACATATGAAAATTGTTTGATTGAAGTTTTAAATTTATTTTTGTTTCATATTGTATGACATTATCAACTTTGCATTGATAATGATTTTCGTGCTGGGACACCAACTCAGTTTACATATATATAATGTATATATGTTTTTGTGCTATTTTGGCAATGTCTGTGACACCTCTACTCATGGATTATTAATTTCTCATAGAATTATGAAAGGCATATGTTGAAAAACATATCACTTTGTTTTGATAATACTTCTTTTTAGCTTTACTCTCTTTCCTAAGCTAGATCTTATCATGTAAATAATTCTATAAATTAATTAAAACTGGATCTTTACTATCTTTTTGGAAATGGTGCTTCTCTTTTATGAATGTTTACTGTTATTTATGCTTAATTTCTTTAATTTTTCTCTCTTCCATTCCTAAATATGTACAGTGTAATTGTATTTACATCAGTCATGCCAATTTCTTTTGAATTTGAAGAAGACGAGATGTAGTAATCTGAATTTTAATGGGATTTTTTTTGTAAATTTTCCTTTCAAATTTTTTTCTACATCTAATTGAAAGATCTGAATGTTAAGAAGAGTCATTGATGTTGTCTGCAGTGTATACTAAAACAAGTTTAATTAACCTTTGGCACTGTAAGAATGCATATTCTCCATACTGTTCTGTAAACATTTCCCAAGGTGCTGACAAAGAGAATTTGTTTAACAATCAAGAGCTTATGAAGTTGGTGATCATTTGTTTTCTTCTTGTGATCTTAATGTTTGATTCAGGAGTGATTTGTGTGGAGAAATTAAATGCTAGCTACTCTCAGGGATTACAGGGTTGAAAACAAAAGTCATTTGTCCAAAAGAAAAGCATGTTTAAAATTGTCACACAAAAGACCCAATTAAGAGCATCATTTGGAATCAGTCCAGCCTGTATTTTTGATACTTTTAATCTTTTTAAACTTTTAATGCTCAGATTTCATGGAGTTGTTTTATTTTGTATCAGATAATTTCCAGAGTATGAAATATTAGGGAAAAACTATTGTTTATCATTCATTTTTTTTTAAACACAGGAGTCACAATTTAGATCCCAAAACAGTAATAGCAGTGGCAGTGTTGGTGTGTGCAACAATACTGTGGATGCTGTTAGGTCACATTCAGCAGTTCACCTTGCGCCAGCTGTTGCGTTATAGAGCATTTCTGTATGAACCAAGAGGGTAAGATTACTTGACTTTGATTTCATGATAGAAAATTCAAGATATAAAAAACTTAATAAATGAATTACTCATAAAAACAATTGTATTCTTTTGTTGTAGGAAGCTGTCATTAAAAACTAAGTGCTGGCTGGTATGTTTCATTTAGTTGACATGTTTAGTCTTTGTGGTGAATATTATTTTCAAAATTTATCATCCTTTACTCTCATTCTTTCCTCTTGTGACTTCAGGGATTAGTGAAACTCCTTGGTGGTAAAAACCCAACTTTGTACAGTTATGAGAAGTCTTTGCCATCTTTGCCTGTTCCTGATCTCAATGCCACCACAGAGAGAGTAAGTAATATGTTAATTTTCTCATTTTTGAATTAATTTCTGATCATGAAAGAAACTCAATGTCACAATACTAAAATTATTTCATTTTTCAGTATTTGCGTTCTGTTAGACCTGTTCTTAGTGAAGAAAGATTTAAAAAGATGGAAACATTAGCAGAAGAATTCAAGGTTTGAGAGAGCTTTAATTAATTCAAACTTTCCTGTTAGATATATTACCTATTTTAATTTATTTATAGATATTGACTGGGCATGTGCTTGAACAATAAGTTTTGTACATATATTGACTGCCTAGTGTAGGTTCTGAAATTATATTCTGGCAGACAACTTTATTTCCCACTTTTTAACTATTTTTAAGTAACTGATTTGTTTATTATTTTTGTGTCTTTAATGATTTGATATTTTGCTGTATAAATAAGTTTGTCATAAATTGTTCTAACAGTTGTATGTTAATTCTCTGGGAGTTATAACTATAAAGTTGATGTGATTTGACAAATTCAGTTTTCAAGTAAAGGGTTCAATGATGGTCTTCATAAGTAGCCTGTTTCACTTATGGCTGCAATTAGGTTTCGTCACACACAAACCACAGCTCTTCCCCAGAACCATACATTTGTGATCTAAGGTAGCTTTGACACACTTTTTAATGTTATTTTTCTTTAGAATGGTCTTGGGAAGAAGCTACAGCGCTACTTGGTCTGGAGATCCTGGTGGTCCACAAACTATGTTAGTAAAATAGTTAACAGTCATGGGCACCCTCCTAGTCTGCCTGTTGGGTACTGATCATAAAATTTGTATTAGGATTACAATTTACTTCAGTATTAGTAAGAGTTTTCAATGAACATTGACTTTTATTAATCTAAACTAGTCATTAAACATACCTACAGGTGACTGCACATACAGTAAGGTTTAATTGCCTTTTCACGATTTCTCTCTTAGGAAGTTTTAATAAATTGAATTAATTTGTATTTTGTCATGAAATCTTTGTGAACCTGGTAACATATCTATCTTAAACTAAACACTTAGTTAACATTATTCTTACATATTAAATTTAATTTTAACCCTTAGTTATCACATGTGCTTTCCATTAGTAAACTTACAGCTTGTTATTTTGACCAATGACACTGCATATATATGTTAAGTGAGGAATATGATAAAATTTATGTCACTGTGGTAATAATTTATCTGTAACTAATTGTGTGC